GGGACAGACAGAAATGGCAGCTGAGGAAAAGCTGATGCTGCAAGTGGGGGGGAAAGGAGAGGAAGTGATGCCACTTTGGGGGGACTACAACTCCCATAATCCCCCAGACCCTTAGAGCCAGCGCCGATTCCCAGAATCCCCACAGCCAGCAGAGAGCCGGTGGCTGTTTAGTATCCTTTCTGGTGGAAAAGGTATTGCCGATCAGCATTGATGGGTTACGTTGTGTTTTTATCGCAACTCACGGTAACAAAACTTTTTTTAAAAAAAAACCTGTTATATTTTGCTCCAAGATTTTGGTTACAGGACCGGCGTTTTCAAGACACGTTGTTGCTCTGTTTTTTATTCTTTCGGTCAATCTTATCCGTCCTTCCCTCCCCCCAGTGTTTCATTCTGCATCGCTCGGATTAATTTTAGTGGAAATATTAAATAGAAACAAGCAATAGTTTAAAGCAGAATCCTTTTCGTTCCAGAGGTGGTTGCAAGGAAGCCTTATTCCGTATCTGTCTTGTTTTCTCCGTTATACTGGCCTTGCCCTTCTGTCGGTGGGCATCTGGGAGCTATTTTGCTCTTTTGAGAAACAGATCTCTCTCTCTTTTTGCCCCGGTCGGTGTCAAGAAATAATGAAAAATGGTTTCTGATTAAGTGAGAAGGAAGAGATAACACAAAAACTTATAACACAAGAAGCCTAATGCTTCTTAAGTGTTTGTGTTGTTATTTTGTTTATACGTAATTTGTGTGGATGGTATGGGTTATTTTATGTTGTTCTATTTTAATAATATATATTTTTAAAAAAATTAAAAAGAGAAGGAAGAGATAACAAGACCAAGGAGCAGTAACCTTTAACCAATAAGTAGGCTGGATAAAAACAATGTTTTTTTTTTAAAAAAATCCAATTGGATAAGAACAGTACTGTATTGAATTTTTTAAAATTAAAAAATTAAAAAGAGAAGGAAGAGATAAGTAGGCTGGATAAAAAACAATGTTTATTTTTTTAAAAAATCCAATTGGATAAGAACAGTATTGAAATTTTTTGAAAATCATTTTTAAAATTCAAATCATCTAAAAATTCTATTGTTTTTTTTTAAAATTGATCGGTTAAATCAATTTGACAAATTTAATCCAGACTGCCAATAAATAGATGATTTTGGCTGCAGGCATTCAAAAGCTATGCACCTTTTCTGTTACTGTTGAGAGTTATTGATGATCTCTCTTCTGGGTCTCTTGTTAAAGAAGAAAACGAGGGCGGGTGTCTCTAGGTTTTGCTTTCGCGCCGACACCTGAGGCTCCCCGTTCGGGACTGGCAGAAGGTCACCCGGGGAGCTTAACAGCCAGGTTGGAATTTGAACCCGCCGCTGCTTGCTTTAGAACAGCATTTCACTTAACGCCTGACAGCGTCTGCTCGGGTGGAGCCGTGTGTGTGTGTGCTGCTGCTGCTAATTACGGTGAGACTCCACCATCTGTGTTTGCACCTGTTGGAAGGTGAAGGAGTCATCATTTTTTTAAAAAAAGAGAAACCCATCGTTCGTGGTTTCCTTTTATGCAAGCTGTATGTATGAATAACAGGATGGAAAAGGTGAGCCTTAGAGGGGTGTGACAGCGAATATAATATGATGCCTGCCCCCCCATTAAAAAACCACGAGGGTGGGAATCAGGCACGGTTAATGCTTCAAGGGGAGACCACAAGGGAACGCCATGTTTTAATTCAGTATAAGGCGGCTCCCCATGTTCTCAGGTTGTTGCTTTGACTTCTATTCCACCCCATAGTGCTCAAGCCCATAACAATGTTGCAGCTTACAACGTAGTTATGCAAGAAAGAACAACTTTGCCCGCTCTGCCCCCAGCGTGGTGGGTACTCATTTTCCTCACCTCAGAGGGACAGAAGGCTGAGGCAACCTCAAGCCAGCTACCTGAACCTGCCGGGAGCAGAGGCTTGACCGCAGTGCTGCCATTGAACCTCTGCGTGTGCTCCCCTAAGTACAGTGTTAGCAGGAAGGGAAAACCCAGCAGAGCAGTCTTTCCTCCCGGCCAGCAAAGCAAGCTTAGCTGGGGTTGCGATAGCAGTTCCAGCCCAAAGCATTGGAAAGCGGTCGGGTGGAGAAACACCTCGGTTTTGTGGTCGGGCGGTGGTCAGCCCACGTGATCCTGACGTGGGCTGTGTGCTTACTCTTGGAGGAAGACCAAGGCTAGGAGGAGGGCTTGCCATTGTGGCTTTTTTTTTTGACACAGCAGCTCCCGGGGAGGTTGTGTTGCAAAAAAAATAAATCCCAAGGGATCTCTTGGTCTGGTGGTTACGAGGTTAGTTGGGGAAGAGGGCTTTCCGGAGCCCTCTTTGACCGCAGGTTCCGCTCCGTTGAAAAAATAAATCAGGGAAGCCACTCCTTCTGCAGTTCACTCAATCTGGTCACTATAGATTTTTTTTTGAAAGAACTGATTACTTACGGTACGATCGTTTGTTCCATGGAATCCGTATCTGAGGATTCACTTATCCGCGGTCTGAATGTATCAACGGCTTAAAAGAACCCTCCTGAATGTATAAATGCCCAAAGGTGACATGACCAGAATGGACCGCAAGAGGGAGATGGAGACCACGCCTAGGATAGAGTTGGCTTTAATCCGTGTTTTTCAGCCTCTGTAGGGGGATCTGGAACCCCACGGATATGGGTGTCCTTCTGTATCACATTTTTGTCTTAACCACATTCTTGAGAAAAAAGGTTATACGAGCCCAGGGTCACAGGACACGGTGGTGCAGCCCCATCCTTCTCTCTCTCCATCTCCATTTCTCTCTCTCTCTGTGTGTGTGCATGCGTGTGTTTTAGGCAGCACCCATAAGAGACCCTAACTCTCAGGTAAACATTTTCTGAGCGCTGGGAAGAAAGCCCAGGAGGTCTGTTGCTGTGTGGGGAAACACCCAGAGGTTTGCAGCATTCGGCCAGGAGGGAACGCCTTTCCCTGGACGGGGACTTCTCTGTCTTACCTCCCGGGTGGACGTCAATTCTCAAGATGCTCCTCTTTTTTGCACCTGCAGGTCCCGTCCATTCCAACTCCGTGGAGCGGAAGATCTACATCCCGCTGAACAGGACGGCGACCTGCGTCCGCCTGCTGAACGCCACCCACCAGATCGGCTGCCAGTGTGAGTCCCATGTCCTGCAGGAGGCATTTTTGCTGGTCGAGGCGTGAAAGGTGGGGGGGAGGGAGAAGTATGTCCTTAAGTGCCCCCTCCTCGTGTACCGCAGGGGCGAGAAACCCCAGTCCCTGAAGCTCAGCCCTGCCCTTCTGGGGTCCCACTCTCGTCCTCTGCCACGCCACCCTCCAGAGGGCCAAGGCACTTTCTCCATATTTGGTTCCTTAGTGTTCAAAGGGGGGGGGGTGTCGGGTCTTCTGCCTCCTCCCCCAGGCCGGTCTGAGTCTGAGATAACAGCCGTGGATGCTGGTCTAAAGAGAAAAGCCATCGGGGTGCGGTGTGGTGGAGTGTTACTTCATTTCCCCAGGTTGATTTCCAGCTGAGTATTTCTGAGGGCCTTCCGGGGAATTCAGCGACCTCCTCTCTCTTTCTCCCCTCAGCCTCCCTGAACGGAGACACCGGCATCGTCCACGTGGTAGAGAAGCAGTCGGATCTCAACTGGGTGCTGTCCGAGGGGCCCCATGCGCCTTACATGGTCCTCCTGCACGGAGAGCTTTTCACCGGGTAAGGTGTGGGCCTCCTTCCCACCCCCTCCACACCTACACCTCCCTCCCTCGCCGCCTTTAAGAGGACGCTCAGAAGGAAGGTGGTGTAATAAAGAGATAGATTGAGGGACAAAAGTTACCCCAACATGTTCGTTTTGTCTCCAGTCTTATGTGTTTCCATGGAGGATAATATTGCTTTGAGGGGCTTTTGTTTCAAGGTTCCTGTGCTTTTCTTGCACATGGCTCCTGATATCATTCAAAGGCCATGAGTAAACTCCCCTCCACCCTCCCACCCCAGGGGGGGAAGACACCCCCTTTTTCTCACCCTTCTCTCTCGACAGGGATCTGATGCAGAAGCTGAAAGGCAGCTCCCGGATCTCCGGGCTGGCCGTGACCGTTTCCAGGCCCAGCCTCCCTCAAGGGTTCTCGCCGGCCCTGAAATGCCCCAATGACGGCTTTGGTAAGGAGGCGGGATGGGGGTGATTCATCTGTGAGCTGGAAGGCAGGCAGGAGGGAAAGCTGGTGTCCTCTACAATCTGGATAGCGTCTCTCCCTCCCCATCTTTCTGGGGCTCCCTCCTGGGCCCCCTTTCATTCCCCAGGCCGAGTTCCGGGGCCTCTCTGTGACATCACGGCAGCCCAGCCAATCACTGCAAAGGTGTCACGACCACAGCCAGGAAGTGCCTCCTCGGCGCCTCTCGGCACAGATGCTTCCACCTCCCTGGGCAAGCAACCAGGTGCCTCATTTCATGGTGGCGGTTCGCTGTTCTCCGGAGAAGCCCGACTCACTTGCACACCCGGTGTGTTTCCTCCCTCCCCCCTCCCTCTTCCTCCTCCAGGCGTCTACAACCACACTTACGGCCCCGAGTACGCGCACTGCAGTGTCACCCTGTGGAACCCTTTCGGCAACGGGCTTTCCTACATGGACTTTGGTTTCCCTATTTTCCTGCTTCAAAATGAGAATGAAACCGAGGTTATTAAACAGGTATCGTGGAGGGTTATTTTTGTTGTTGTTTTTTTTAAAAATGATCCTCTACTTTTGGATGGGAGGGTGTAGTCATGGGAGCAGAGTTTTAACAGCATAGGGTGAGGATTCTGGGATGTCACTGCCAGATTTAGCGCAAAACTCAAGGCAGCTGCATTTGAGTTGATTTGAAATTCCCAGGCTGTCTTCAGGGGGGAGCCCCCCCAAGAAACCAGAGCAGTAGTCTAGTTCAGGAAACTGTTCAGTGACGCTGATATAGACAATCATTCCTACTGGCAGCAGATCCAACGGACTCATTTATTAATTTAAAATGATTTTACCCAAACTTTCTCTTAAAACGACCCAGAGAGGCTTTTAAAAAAGGCAATATGTGAGATCCGTAGCCTGCGTAATGTAATGGGAAACCAGCCAGGGAATGCTTTTATGTACCATAGGGTGGTGTTTAAGCAGCATCTGCTTTTGCTTTGAAATACAAATGTTAGTATCGTCGAAGATTTTTATATGTAAGTCTATGGGCTTTGTCAGGAAAGTCCCCCGACAAAAAGTGAATGACCTCTTTGATTCCGTTACGGCCCGTGTTTGACAGCACAGCGCCAGCGCCAGGACACAGAAGTTAATTTTAAAATGCCGTATCTTTCTAAATGTGGCCCATTGTCCAATCTTCTGTCTGTCTCTCTCTCTCAGTGCTTCAGAACCTACAACCAGCCTATCAACGGCTCTGCCCCCCAGTACCCGCTGTGCGCGATGCAGCTCTCTTCCCACATGCACGCGGTCACGAGCACTGTCACCTGCATGCGCCGCAGCGCCATCCAGAGCACCTTCAGCCTCAACCCTGGTGAGAAACATCCCCCCAAAGGCGTTTTTTCCCCCCAGATCGTACAGATGATCCCCAGCCTTTGGGGTGTGACTGGGAGTAAAACTCAGGAAGCTGTTTAACCTCTATTGGGGAGAACTTCCAATGGGAGGACTGGGAGAAGTCTTGGAGTTTGGACGGCTGGTGCCCGTCGAAAGCGAGAAAATTGGTTTCAGTTGAGTGACGGGCAGGGGACCGGCTTTGCATGTTGAGGCCACTGGTTGGTGGTGTAAAGTGTGCTGCAGGACCTCTGTATCCACGGGATTGAGATCTGTGGTGTCCCTTACCCGCTAAAAATATTAAAAGGAAAAAAAACCCTAGAAATATGTATTTTCATGATGTATTTACCAGAACTGGCCCCTAGAGGGTGCCAGGGACCATGACATGAATTCTTGCTGGAATACATAGCGTGGTCTTTGGCTCCTCTAGGGGCCAGTTCTGGTAATACATGGTGGAAATACTTTTGTTTTCCCCTGGACTTTTCCCCCACTCTATGTATGACGTTCACTGTTGCCTGCTGCTTTCAGCATCCTCAGGGGGCTTGCAACCTGTCCTCCCGTGGATAAGGGGATCCGACTGTATTTTGTATTGAGATGTTCCCGTTCCACTCAGTGCCATCTCTGTTGAGAGTGTCTCACAGGCACGCAGGCAGCAGAAAACGTTCTGCTTCGGACCCTGGAAGCCGCCTGCTAGAGAACATCCTGGGTTGGATGGAAGGGAGTCTCCTCTGTTGGTTTGTCTTGGTTTTCCTCTGCCCTGATTTTGAGCAGAGGCTGTGGGTCTCATTTGGAGACCTTCTCGATGGTCCTTCTGGTGTCCAAAGCAATTCATAAGTATCGGAGTTACTCCAAGGCTAGAACGCCATGAGATTAAGGGATGCTGGTGCTGAACTGAACAGGGTTCCCCCCCCCCACGGGGGAAACAGGTGGGCGCCGTCCTTTCTCGCCCAGTAAAGGAACAGACCATTTTGTGCCTCTGTTGATGTCCCCTCCCCCCCCGGTGCTTTCTTCCCCCGGCAGAGGTGGTGTGCGATCCGCTCACCGATCAAAACGTGTGGAACGCCCTGAGACCCATCAACAAGTCGGAGGAGCTGGACCCCAGAAGCGTCGTCGTGGCTTCCTCTCAAGTAAGCGCCCTGCTCCGGCCCCGGGGTCTGTCGCGCTGGGACTCCTGTGGGTCAGCAAGGGAGCGAGAACAGCGTTTCTCACTCCCAGCAGAAACCAGACTTGAAACGGTGGGGATGGTCAGCTGCGAGTCGGCTTCCCTAGCTGACCTGAGCGGAAGCCGGGTTTTCCTAGGTCTCCGTAGCCCATAATAGTCTCACATGGAACTGGTTACGTAAAGCAAGCTGCGGCAGATGTGGTAAAAATAGTATCTCAGATGGCATGGATAGACATTTATTTATTTATTTATTTATTTATTTATGTATTTATTTATTTAAAATTTATACCTCGCCCGTCTAGACCGAAGTCTGCTCTGGGCGGATTGGGTCTTTTTAAGGAGAAAATGTATACCTCGCCCGTCTAGACCGAAGTCTACTCTGGGCGGATTGGGTCTTTTTAAGGAGAAAGGCAGGGGGGGAAATATTTTAAATCAATAAATTTTACACCCATGTTCCCCATCATTGCAGGGCATTCCTTTGCCTGCCTATCCAGTTAAGGGTATATTTCTCAAATCCTGGCATTTGAAGCCCTGCTTTCCCCCCCCCCACACACCCTAAATGTTTTAACGTGGCTGATGGCGTGGCCTTATTCCTCTTAAGGGGACTCGGTCCAGAGATTTGGGACTTCCGTCGGTCCGTTGGACAAAGGGGGCGAATTCCACTTGAAAGACGGGAGCCACTCCTTTGAATTATATCCGCAGACCAGGATATCAGAATGATCTGAACACGGGCAGATGCTCAAAGCTCACCGCCGGGCGGCCTTGCTCTCTCTCTCTTCTTCCTCCCTGTCTTAGATCGACAGCCACTCTTTCTTCTGGAACATTGCACCCGGGGCCGAGAGCGCGGTGGCTTCGTTTGTTACACTCCTGGCTGCCGCCGAAGCGATCCGCAAAGTTCCGGGCATTGAGACCTTGCCGAGGAACATCATGTTCGCTTTTTTCCAAGGGGTAAGAGCTGACTCTCCCTCCCCCCCCCATTGGGCTGTGATGTTCAGTAGGTCCTGAGTTTGGTCCCCCCGCACCTCTAGGCAATGATGCTGGGGCAGGTCTTGCTCTATCTCACATTCTGGAGAATCGCTCCTAACAAGGGCACAAACAGAAATTAGAGAGAGCTTACGGCTGGAAGAGGAAATTCCTCAGCTAAAGAAAGCATCAGAGTACATACAGCAGGGAGTTCCCATCATCCCCAGGAAAAGGGACATTAGGTTTGCTGTGTTTGGTGATGTTTCGGTCTTCAGGAGAACGCAGAAAGGGAGCTTTCTGGGATTACAATTCCCGGAATCCCCCAGCCACCGAGCTGCAATATAGCAATCGTTCAGCTAGGTCTGATCTTTTATAAGAACGCAAGTAGGCGGTTTCGCTGTGAGAACTGCAGAAGCCACGTGGAAGGGGTTCAGATCTCTTGAGTCCAGCATGGCGCTCACACGTTGGACCAACAGGTTATCTGTGAGGACGCCCCTGCCCAGATGGGGCCATAGCTGTGCCCCCTCCACCTCATGCGGCCACCCTGTCTCCGATCCTGGAGGTGATCTCTAGCAGCCCTCAGAAGCCCCAGTGCCATAATGTGTTCCAGTTTCTTTTTTAAGCCATCCGAGTTGGCGCCTGTCAACACATCTTGTGGCAGTGAGTTCCGCAAGGTAACTGGGTCATGCTGCTCCCAGTGCTCAGCGGGTGGGCCTGGCGGTGTAGCGTCCGAACACACCTGCTTTCCTTGCTGCTACTCTAGTGAAGGCTGTAAAGGAGGATCTTTCTCTCTGTTACCTGGCCGATAAAGGCGATCTTGAGTTCGAGCGACCGGTGGCCTTGATTTGGGTGAAAACCGCTTTTCTCTCCGTGAGTTTGGAGCCCCGACATCGAAAACTGTGCTCCCGCGGCCAAGCTTCCATCTTTCTCTCAGCTGGAAAGCGCTGCTGTTCAGCTTTGGAACAAACCCTTTTGCCCTCAGGGAAGAGAACAGACTAAAGAGGCAGATGTACCCAGAGAGCCTTCAGGGAATTAGCCTCCGATGTGGGGTTTTTGGAGATGGAGGGGGGGTTGGGGTTGGGGGGAGGGAATCGAAACAGGAAAATTGCACAAATCTCAAATTCATGACCCAAATACCTTGGGATCCGGCTTTTGCTTGCGTGCTCGACGGATGCGCACAGAGCAAAATCTCAGATATCTGTCATATTAAATTTTACATGCTCTATAAATAATTCCAGGGTTTTTCCAGTTGCCAAGACAATTTGAGCTGGAATATTTGGTTTGGGAGAGAAACAGGAATCATTCCCACTTTGACTGCAGCCCTGCGTTCATTTACCTGGGAATAAATTCTTTACTTCCACAAACGAACATTGCAATTTCTTAAAAGATAGTCAAATCGCTCAAGTGGCTTAGGCCTCTGGTTGCCAAGCCAGAGCGTCAAATCGCTCAGTGGCTTAGGTCTCTGGTTGCCAAGTCAGAGGTTGGGAGTTCGAAACCCACCCCCCGCCCTGGGGCCTCCTTGAGAGGGACTGGACTTGATTTTATTTATTTGTTTGTTTATTTTTGCATGTCATGATTCAAAGAAGCAACATGCTCTGCTTGCAGAAGGAGGGGAATTCGCGGTGGTCTCAGGAAAATAGACAAGTTGCAAACTCTCGTCTCAGGGAGAAGAAGGGGAGGACGAAAGGGGGGCGGATTGCCCTCTAGTTTTGTTCCCCCCCCCCCGCGTGCTTTCGAGCGGCACTGCATCTGGGCTCCAAAAGAAGGGCACGGGGAGAGGGCTAGAACGCGACGCACGCCCTGGCGTGAACAGCCAGCCGTTCATTTTGGAGCACGCCGGCAGCTGCTGGAAGCCGAGAGGCTGTTTGGGGAAGTGGGGGGGGGAGATCGAGGACATGGTGGGGGGAGAGAACTGATGCTCAGCAGCTGAGGTTTGCCCCTCCGGGCATCGCTTCCGAGGGCCTAGTTCACTCTACCCTGCCGGCTTTTGCTTGGGCTCCCAAACCCCTGTGGGGTGTTCCCCTAACCCCTCGCCCCACAGCGCATTTGGGGAGTCCTTTGCTGCAGGGGGAAAAGGCAGCGGTGACCGGCAGCAGTGGCCTCTCTCGGAGGGCTCCGGCTTGAGTCCTCCGCACGGCCATGGTCGTTCCAAACCTGTACGATGCTTGCTTTGAGGGCACTTAAAAATCATTAGTGCTTTCAGGAAGGGACGGGAGCCTTTAGACACCAGAATATATATTTTTTTACAAAATCTGGTCTTTTGGGGTTCTTGAGAGCAGGGTTTCCCCACCTTGGGAAGGGGGTCCCCCAGAGGTTCTTGGACGGCAACTCCCTGAAATCCAGGCCCGTCCCGCGGGGGGATGAAGGCTTCTGGGAGTTGTAATCCGAGATGTGATTTCTATCGTCTGCTTTGTTCGTTTGGTTTGAGGATCACGGGGGCGGGGGGAGAGGGAATGTCTTGGTCGTTCCTAAAAAAATCTGTCGCCGTTTGTCTCTTCCTCCCCAGGAGACCTTCGACTACATCGGCAGCTCCCGCATGGTGTATGACATGCAGAACAACAACTTCCATATTAAGCTGGACAACATCCATTCCTTCCTGGAGCTGAGCCAGGTGAGAAGAGCGGAGGGTCCCTTCCTTCGCTTCCCGCCCCCCCCACCCCCCGTGGCTTGGAAACTCGCTGCCCGAGGCTGGCATCTCCGTGGGGTGACGAGTCCTCTTTCCGTTGCAGGTGGCGCTCAGGGAGAGCTCCAGCCTCTGGGTGCACACAGACCCTGTGTCTCGGAAGAACCAGTCGGTGGAAGTAAGAAAGCGGGCGTCTCGCTCTCTGGGGGGGGGGGGGAGCCGGGTACCCGTGCTGACCACTAACTAGAGATGGAAGGGCCTGGCTGGAGGGGGCAGAAAAATTGGGGAATAGACACCTCTACCTCTGCTTGAAGCAGTGCGTCCTGGGCCAAGGGGGGATCTGGGGCCAGGGAGGCCCTCGAAGCTTGCGACCCAGATCCGGAGAGGCGAAGGACAGGTCATCCAGCGGCTCCTCGTACGAAGATGAGCGCTCTTGTTCCTTTTCGTTAGGAAAGCATCCAAAAGATGGTGGAGACCCTGAAAAACAGCAGCAAAGACACCGGCGTGGTCGTGGGCGAGACCGGCGTCTCCCAGCCCCTCCCGCCGTCCTCCTTCCAGCGGTTCCTGAGGGCCAAGCCGATCCCGGGGGTGGTGCTGGCTGACCACCGCTCCTCTTTCCACAACAGGTAACGAACCGGAAGGACCTTACAGGTCAGGTGGCCTGCCTGTTCTTTCTCTGTGTGTGCTTGGGTCTGTTTTGTTTGTCTGGAGTGTCGTCACTTACACAGATGTTTGCTTTGAGGAGGGGCTGCAGAGCGGGAGAGGGTCTCCCTCCCGAAAAGGGGGTTTAGCCATTTGGCATCCCCAGAGGGCCAGAAACAGCTCACCCCCCTCCCCAAGGTGGGTGGGATTTTGTCCCAGGGCTCCGATTTCGAACACGTGATCCGAAACCTAGTCTGAGTACAGAGTCGGTCTCCATTTCTCCCTCCTTCCGACTTGCTCAAACTCCGTCCATCTATCTTCCCTGTTTCCCCAAAAATAAGACCTAACCTGAAAATAAGCCCTAGTATGATTTTTCAAGATGCTCGTAGTATAAACCCTCCCCCAAAAATAAGCCCCGGTTAAGTGAAACCCTGCTCTCCACCCTTGCGCAGCAACCAGAAGAAGAGGACAGGACTGTATTTGAATAAAGGTAGAGGGTTGTACATGAAAAAAATAAAACATCCCCTGAAAATAAGCCCTAATGTGTTTTCTAGAGCAAAAATTAATATAAGACCCTGTTTTATTTTTGGGGAAACACAGTATCCATCCATCCATCCATCCATCCATCCATCCATCCTTATCTATCTATCTATCTATCTATCTATCTATCTATCTATCTATCTATCTATCTATCTAATCTATCTAATCTATCTAATCTATCTAATCTATCTAACCTACCTACCTACCTACCTACCTACCTACCTACCTACCTACCTACCTACCTACCTACCTACCTACCTACCTACCTACCTACCAATCAAGGCATCCAAGCTGGTTTACAACAGTAAAAGAAACAAAATTGAAAACCGAATAAGAAATTCTCACAGTATTTAAGAAGCATTAAACAAATATTATATTAAAACTCATCTTAAGGGGGAAAAAAATTAAAAACAGAAGGAAAACTCAGAATGAAATGCTCACTTAGAAGCAAACAAACAGACCTGTTGGTCAACCGGTCATTTAAAGGAAAGCTTGCTGGAAGAGAAAGGTTTCTTGGCGTGTTTGCGGAAGGACAGCCAAGAGTGGGGGCCCAGCCTGGACACTAGTGGCAGGGAGTTCCACAGTCTCGGGGCAGCCACAGAGAAGGCCTTCTCCCATATCCCAGTGAACCCCCTGGCAGATCCCTTAAACAGGCTAGATTCCCATCAATGTTTTCGGCGTGTGCAGTTGCTTTGCCAGGAGCTGCTTTCCGGCTAGCCTTGGTCTTGCCTGCAACTGGCTCGGCCGCTCCCAGCTGGTCCAGGCTGTTCTGCAGGGATGTTTCCGGTGACCGAAGCTGTTGTGTGTTTAGTCGTTTAGTCGTGTCCGACTCTTCGTGACCCCATGGACCAGAGCACGCCAGGCGCTCCTGTCTTCTACTGCCTCCCGGAGTTGTGTCAGGTTCATGTTGGTTGCTTCGCAGACACTGTCCAGCCATCTCATCCTCGGTCGTCCCCTTCTCCTCTTGCCATCACACCTTCCTAACATCAAGGTTTTTTCCAAGGACTCTTTTCTTCTCATGAGATGGCCAAAGTACTGGAGCCTCAGCTTCACGATCTGTCCTTCAAGTGAGCATTCAGGGTTGATTTCCTTTAGAACTGAAACCCCTGGCAGATCCCTTAAACAGGCTAGATTCCCATCAATGTTTTCGGCGTGTGCAGTTGCTTTGCCAGGAGCTGCTTTCCGGCTAGCCTTGGTCTTGCCTGCAACTGGCTCGGCCGTCCCCAGCTCCCACCTGGTCCAGGCTGTTCTGCAGGGACGTTTCCGGTGACCGAGGCTGTTACAGCCGCCATTCTGCAAGCGGATCGGGAGCTTTGGCAGGGGGAGAACAGGGGACGGCGGGGGGCGCCCAGAAAGAACGTGGCAACAGTTGTGGGGTCCGGCAGGGGAGGGGCACCGGCAAGCCGCTGGGGGCCGTGTGGTTAAAGAGGCGCAGCGTAATCGCTGTGACAGCCACGAGAAATCCGGTTTTGTCGGGAGAATGTTTCCCACAGCTGGCTGCCAGCCAGAGGTTAGCAAACCGCACTTGAGCGTGTGGGGGGAGCCGGCGGGCAAAGGAGGGGGGTGAAGAGGGGCTCAGCTGTGCTTCCTGGACCACTTTCAGACCTAAGCAAAACAGGAGAAGACCCAGGGTTGTGACCATCGGAGGGGGGGGGATCCAGGCGCTGCAAACTGTGGGATTTTTGCCCTTTCCAGCGTCGTGACCCCCAACGTCAGCCTGCAGGGACCCACAAGGTCGCCCACCAGGCTTGTACGTCGATGGAGGTTTCTGGAAGAGAGGCAAAGGTTTATAAATTGCCAGCGTACCTTAGCGTAGCTTAGTTAAATGTATCGTGGGAAGCAGCCGTTCCTCACAAAGTCCAGAGGAAGCGTGAAGGCAGGTAGGAAGAAAAGAAGCATTTAAGATGCCATTAAGAGAATAGAACTGGCCAAAGGACACGGATAAACTCTAGGAATCGTTTTCATTTTGGAGCGCCCAGAGGCAGAAGGAAATAGTCGAAAAGCCGCCGTAAGTGTCTGGAGGGCCCCTCTTTTGGCGGGCGCGAACTAAGGGATGAGGGGAAGGCTCCCTGCGTCTTTCAAGGACCATCCTTAGCCTTTTATTCCGTTGCGGCCGGTTTTAACTTTGCTTCCCTATTTGTTTCCGAGTTTAGTTTCGCTTAGCTTAACTCGGAGGGTGTTATTGTTGGGCTGTTCTCGCTGCTCGTGAACCACCTGGAGTGACCCATTGGTCAGCGAGGCAGGACAAAAATCAAATAAATAGCGGAGACACTCCCATCCATGAAGGCAAAAAATAATAATAATTTAGTGCTTTTTGGCCCCAGCTGGATAATAAATGAATAAATCTGTCGGGAATCCCAGGAGAGGCCCAGGGCCTCCAAACCAGAGGCAGGGGCTGCTTGTTTTATCCCCGTAAACGGCTTCTCTCTCTCGCTCTCGCTCTCTCTCTCAACCAGAGGCGGGGGCTGCATGTTTTATCCCCCGTAAACGGCTTCTCTCTCTAGCTCTCTCACACACACACATATATATACTCCATCCCTTCCAGGCTTGTTTTTTAGCTGTTTCCCCGGCTGTCCGGGGGCTGCATGTTTTATCCCCCGTAAACGGCTTCTCTCTCTAGCTCTCTCACACACACACATATATATACTCCATCCCTTCCAGGCTTGTTTTTTAGCTGTTTCCCCGGCTGTCCCATGGGTCAGACTCGCCTTTCTAGTCCCCAAGGAGCTGTGGGCCGTGGCAAGAAGGGGGCCGTGTCCACCACCGGGACATCCCTTCTAGGGTTGTTTTTTAGCTGTTTCCCCGGCTGTCCCATGGGTCAGACTCGCCTTTCTAGTCCCCAAGGAGCTGTGGGCCGTGGCAAGAAGGGGGCCGTGTCCACCACCGGGAGGGGGTTGCAGGAAACGTGGCGTACAGGCGTAACGAAGGAATCGGTAGTTCACGACTTTAGGTTGTAGGCGTTCTGCTGGATGGATTTCACTGCGAGGGCACTTAGCTTCCGTGCCTCCCCAGGCCATTCTGGACGCATCTGATGCTGCATAGTTTCCACCGGTCAGCCCTTGGAGGGGAGAGACAAACACACACACAACCGCAGGGATATCCAGGACTCTGGGAAGGGAAGGCCCACCATCACAAACCTGCCTAGCGGTAGGTGGTGCTGGACCCCATGTGAGCACCGAGGCCCCGACCCTAGAAGGGAAAATCTTCAGTTGCTGTCTTTTAAAATTGGGCTGGGTGGCCGCGGAGGCTACCCCACGCCACCCATCCGCGAGAGGCATCGGGGGGGGGTCCTTTGGATCCGTGCGAGCGCCGCTGGGCTGTTCAGTGTCAGCCTTAGGACTCTATTATCTGCCCCCCCCGGCGAGGGTCGGCTGCGGACCCTCCGTCGGCGAAGGTGGGCCAGCCCGGCTTGAACGGCTCTGCCTCTTGGCACGTCACGTGGCCGTTTCCGCGTGGCTCCGTGGCGCCTGAGCCCACAGGCTTCTGCCGCTGTCTTGGCATCGGCCGGCGCCCTTGGAAGCGGCGTGGCCAGGGAGGGGCTGGCTTCCCAAAGCGTTTCTGCTGCTGGCATGAGCTCACGGCACGCCTGGCCCGTTCCAGGGTTTGGTGGCGTTCCTAGGCAAATTTGCTTCTCAGCAGTGTGCCTTTTGGACGAGCGGGGTGTTGCGTGTGTGTATGTGTGTTTCGCTCCCCATCTCCCTTCCCAGTCAACGAACGCAGCTCATCAAACAGAGGAAGCGGCAGAAGGGGCCAAGTTAATTACAGAGGCTCGTTAAACGCTTGCGAGGGGAGGGGGCTGGAGGCTGGGTCCCCGGCTGGGTCCCAGAACCCACTTCCTTCCCTGGGGGAACCTCCTGGCGCCTGCCCCGGGGGGGGACCAGTTCCTCCACATCGACACCACCTTGTCTGACGCTGGTTTGTGCTTCCGCCCACTTGACCAGCTCCGACCGGCAGCCACCGTCTGCCAGGTTTCCTGAGAGCCTTCGTCCTGTGCTCTCTATGGGGAGAAATGGCGAAACTGGGGCTCGTTTCCCCAGAACGTTTCCTTGGGTTCTCCTTTGAGGAGAAAGGCCATGTAGGAGAATAATCAACAGGTAGGTAGGTAGGTAGGTAGGTGGGTGGGTAGGTAGGTAGGTAGGTTGGTTGATTGATTGGTTGATTGATTGATTGATTCTGCTGGCAAGGCAGCCCCTTCTGGCAAGGCTTTCCCTCCCAGGCTTTCCCTCCAGCCCAGCCTGTCTTCTTTTCTATCAGGTACTATCAGAGCATCTACGACACCCCGGAAAACATCCTGATGAGCTACCCGGAGGGGCTGAGCCCGGAGGAAGCCCTCAGCTACGTGACCGACACGGCCAAGGTTTGGCACTGGGGGTGGGAGAGAGGAGGCTCCCCTCTGTCCTTCCCCAGCAGGGCTGGTGGTGGTGGGAGGGCGGGAGAGGACCTTGCATTCTCTCGCGTGCTGGGTTGTCCCGGAGATGGGCTGACAGCCACACTTGGCCCCGGGGGACCCCATCCTTGGCTGCTGCCGGCAGCTGCCTGCCTTGTTGAGCACGTTCTCCCCTCTTCCCTGCCCCTTCCTTTCTCCCCCNACACTTGGCCCCGGAGGACCCCGTCCTTGGCGCCTGCCTGCCTTGTTGAGCACGCCCCCCCCTCTTCCCTGCCCCTTCCTTTCTCTCCTCTCCCCCCCTCGAACTGCAGTCCCTGGCAGAAGTGGCCACCGTGGTCGCCCGCACACTCTACCAGCTTGCAGGAGGAGACGGCGGCAGTGTCTCGGCCATCGCAGCAGATCCCGTGACGGTAGGAGCAGATGGGCTTCGGGGGCTGGGCGCCAGGGCTGAGCTTCAGCGCCTCAGCCCGTCTGTCCTGCTTCTCTCTCTCTCTCTCTCTCTCTGTCCACATGTTCTGTCTTGCTTCTCCTCCCCGAGTGGCGATCCTTCCCTGTCATTGAAACCGGCCTCTTCTCCTCTCCCCTCGGCCTCTTATCCTGGCACGGCTTTTTCCGCCTCTCTTTCCGGCTCCCGTCCTTCCTCGCCTTGTTTTCTTTTTTTTTCTCCCCCCTCCCCTTTTAAATTTCCTAAGCTCAAAACCCAGCCTTCTTTCCTCGGCGCCTTGACTCCTGGGTCTTCTTGGCAGGTCACGCGCCTGCTGTACAGCTTCCTGGTTCGGGCCAACAACTCCTGGTTCCAGTCGATCGTGACGCCGGACTTCAAAGGATATCTGAGTAAGTCCCTTCTTCGGAGACCCTGCTCATGTCCGGTTTGGGGAGCTCATGGGCGGGGTTTGGGCCGAGCCACGCTGCCGGTTAGAGCCGGCCGCCTCCGCTTCGATGGGCCGAGGCTGGGGTCTCAAGCCGACGGGCGCTTTCTCTGCTTCTCTCTCCTCCCAGCGGACGGGCCCCTCCAGTACTACATTGCCGTCTCCAGCCCGGTGAACTCGACCATGCTGGTCTACTACGTCTTGGCCAACCTCACGGGCACCCGCCTGAACGACAGCACCACCAAAGAGCAGTGCAAAGCCTCCGCAGGAGACGTGAGTTTGCACGGGGAATATCGGTGCCTTTGCTAGGCGGCACCCTTTACTTTTTGCTAGGCCGGTGTGGTTTTTAGGACTCTCTCTCTTTTAATCAGGAGAGCCTGGGAAATGGACCTGGGGCTGTTCTGTTAGATCCACGCTCCAAGCAGCCGGATGGCTCTTCCCGCAATTCCCAAATAACAATATGATTCATTCCTCTTTCCATTTGGATCATTTACTGCTTTTGACCTTTAATGTTGCGTTATCTGCCTTGCGTCCTTTGGTAGGAGGAAGGTGGTGGTGGAAACCTTTGCAATACATTAAATAAAGCGAGCAAGCAGTACAAATCGCTCCCTTCGGAGTAACCTAAAGCAGCAGTGACCCCCCCCCGATGTTCTCCTCTTCCCTCTGCAGTTGTATGAGTACATGTGGGTCCAGGGCTCTCCCTTCCCGAACGCCACGTCCCCACGCAAGCCGTTCTGCGTTAAGTCAACCGTGCGCCGCAGCCCGGCCACCTCTCCGGCCTTTGAGCTCCAGGACTGGGGCTCCTCCGAGTACTCCACGTGGACAGAAAGCCGCTGGAAAGAGCTTCACGCTCGGATCTTCCTCGTGGCCAGCAAGCGGCTCGAGGTGAGTGCCGGCATGTGGTCGGTTTTTCTGCTAAAATCCAGACGTGGCAGAGTCTCGGGGTACAATCATCCCCTCGTTCAACCCAAACTTCCCCTTTGAACTTACGAGGAATCTTTCGCTCCAGGAGAGACACCTCTCTCTCTCTCTCTCTGCCCGGGGAGCCTGGAGGTTTTTTCACTGCCTGTCTGCAGCTGGGTGGGCTGAGCTGGGTTCCTCATTTCAAAACATCTCTTAAAAACCAAAATTACGGATTATCAGGGGAATGTCAGGCAGGGTGAAAGGAGAAAGGTAGCAGCGGAAGGTGCTTTGCATGCTGACGAGATTGCGGAGACCGAACATGGCTGTTGGGTGTTTCTAGAGAAAAAGGAAGCAAGGAGGGATCACAGGTGCGTGAATGGGGTGCCCGTGGTAGGGTTGAATGGGGTGGGGGTCTGGTCAAAATAGCCCCTGTTTGAAAGGAGGTCGCTTTGGCTGTTCATGGGCCTGGCATTTCCGAGGTCACGACCAGGGAAGTCTCGCGGAGGCCAAGCTGTGTTTCTCCAGCTGCTCAGAACAGGCCGGCCTGCTTCCAAAAGCTGTATTCCTGCCGCTTTTCCAAACTGAGCCAAGGATGTCCTGCGTTTGGGGACGATGGAGGGCAGGATCTGCCCTTGATCCCCTCTGAGCACAGGACACGCAAGGGTGGGCTCGAGCGACAGGAAGCTAGATTCCGGTGGGATCTCAGGAAAAAAACTTCCCAGTTGTTAGAGCAACAGGACGATGGGACCCGCGACCTCGGGAGGCGGTGAGCGCTCCCAACGCGGGAGGCCTTTGGGAGCCATCTGTCAGGATATGCCTCGATTTGGGGGTTCCTGCATTGGACTAGGGTTGGACTCAGACTGCCTAATAGGCCCTTTATAGGAAGCGGTGCAGGCTTGGCATAGAGATCCTCCAGGCTGGGCGGGGGGGGGAGAGTCTGTGGCCTTCCTCCGGCTTCTCCGCTTGACGAAGAGAGCTCTTTCTTTCTTGTCTTGATTCCCCACCCCTGCAGATCATCACCCTGATTATCGGCATCTGCATACTCGTCCTCTCATTTGTGGCCACCTACTTCATCAATGCCAAAGCCAACGTCCTTTTCACCCCCCCGGCGGACTCGGGGGCCGTGGCTTATTGAGAGCGGCTTATGGGATCCTCGCGCGTGGAACCGGGCGAGGGAAGAGAGCAAACGAACGAACTTGGATGTCGCTGGTAGAACAACACTGGAGTTCTTTCCCCGACTGAGACAAAACTGGATTGGAAGCAGACCTTTCTTCCCCACGAAAGAAAGGCCACCGGACCGGCCACGGAGGGCTGGGGGGGGGAGCCTTGGCCTGGGTCTCCCCCTCGCCTTCATCTCTCATGGCTGCACCGCGGTGGGCGATCAGAAGCCTCGCGCCTGGCGATATAACTGGCGCGCAGCAACGGCTGGGCAGGAAACGGGCAGATCCCAGGAATAATCCTCTCCGGGGGACGAGACACTCACGCAAACCCACTGATCTCTGTGTATATCAGGATGAAAGGAAAGCAGGACATAGGGGAGTCTGGAACCCGGGGGGGGGACCTTGGGTGTAAAAGATCCTTTTCTAATGTATATCAGGATGAAAGGAAAGCAGGACATGGGGGAGTCTGGAACCCGGGGGGGGGCGGACCTTGGGTGTAAAAGATCCTTTTCTAAAATAATAAATGGAATTTCTTTTTGTACATATTCAATACATTGCTTGGTTTAATTTAAAAGAAAAAGACACCTTACAAATTAAACCCGCAGTTTTCACGGTGGTTTGTGGTTGTTTTAATCTCTCCTTTCTCAGGATGACCAGTGATTTCTTTTCATGTGCTTAGAGATTCCCAAGAGATCTTTTCAGACGGGGGGCTTGGCATCACGGAGAGGGAGGTGTGAGTTAGCGATACTTTGCTTTAGACCCGTCTCTGGAAAAGGCAGAAACATCAGCCCGATTCTGTGGATGCCATCATTCCAGTTGTTTATTTTCCTGACGCTTTTGGGACTCTGTAACATTCCTTTCTGGGAAGGAGGTGGCCGGGATGATCCCCCTTTTCAGTTCTCCAAATGCATGAATAAAATCGTTCAATAGGTTGAAAAATGCCGATCCTGTCTGTTTCTGATTCCTGCGCCCACCCAGGCACTTCCTCTGATCCCTCGGCCGGCCGGCCTTGGACCCGATGCCTGGCAAAGCTGTGCCGCAGTGGCCACGGCTGCATGTGCCACGGAGGGCCAACAGGTTTCCCTGTGGACGGGGTCCGTTCAGTCCCCTGGGAAGCCGTGGCACCAGAGGAAGAGCAGGCAGACGCCCGAAGGCTGGCCGAGGCCCAACCTACGGCTCACCAGGCTATTTCTGATTCTCTCCCTGCAGTGTTTCCCCAAGGTCCCGAAACCAAGCGTGGGGATGATTAGGGTGAAGGGGGACCAGACCGAGCTGGTCTGCTCCGTGCCTGGCCGATAAAAACACTCGCCCGCTCTGGGCAGAAGGAGAAGAGGACGACGAAATGTGAGATGGGCGGACTCCATAAAGAAGCCATAGGCTTGATTTTGTAAATAGCTGAGAAGAGGAGCTTTTGGAAATGACCGTGGACTGGAAGCGGCTTGACGTTACAGAGCTAAGAGAAGTATGAGCCTCCCCGAGTGCACGTACCGCTTGTGACCTGCCATTGCTTCCAACATGTGGCGACCTCATGAACCTGCAGCTTCCTTTCTGGAGTTTGGCCAACTTGTATTGGGTCTTCCTCTCCCCCTGCTCCCTTCCCCATTTCTCAGCACGATGGGTCTTTTCCAGACATAATCCTGTCTTCTCAGGAGGTGCCCAAAGCAGGACAAGCCTCCGTTTCGTCATTTTTTGCCTCTAGAGAGGGTTCAGGCTGGATTTGATCTAAGCACCCACTTGCTCGTCTTACCTGGTTGTCCAGCACATCCACACAGATCTCCTCCAGCACTACATTACAGGGTTTCTTTGGCCCAAGCTTCAGAATCAGCTGAGGAAGAGCAGATATTCGGGTCCCTCCATGTTCGCTCTTCATCCCAATCTAATGGAGCCTCTTGATCCTCGGCCCCGACCGGCCTTCTCCCTCCCGTCTTGCCAGCAATTCTGGTTCTGTGACTTAGTATTTGGATGCACGAGACTTCACCCTCCCTCAAAGCTGGCTTGGCTTTAGCAATGACGGACGGCTGCGAAGGGGAATTATCCGGGAGCAGGCACAAATCCACACGTTTTCATTGCAATAAGAAGGAGGGTTCCCAAGCATCTTTATTTTGAGTCTGTTGTTCTGGTTAGGCGTAGAGAGACCCGAATCCCATTAGGAGAAAGTGCGGATTGCAAACTTTGCCCATCCCTCTGACCCCCAATTAAGTTTTTTTTTTTAAAAAAAAACTTTTTTGGATTGCAAACTTTGCCCGTCCCTCTGACCCCCAATTAAGTCTTTTTTTTTTTTAAAAAAAAACTTTTTTGGGGGGGGTGAAAACAGCAATTTAGCAGGTTCGATTGCCCTCCAGTGAAATCAATGTAACATGCCATTTAGCAGTGCATTTATAATTGCTCCCGAAATGAGTGAGACGGGTGTCAGGGAAGCCTGTGACTTCAATGGATCCCCGGAAATGGAGCAAGAGAAACGTGGCCAGTGCTAAAAACGGGGATCCGTGGATACTGATCCTGCGGAGAAGGGGATCCTGATGTGCAATAAACTATGATCCCGGCCTTGGCGTGTCCCAATGGGCAGTCCCTGGCCGAGCAGACCGGCCGAAACTGTGGAACGGGAAGTTTGACGCATGTGTAAATCCTACCAGTTGCACAAGCCTACTCTGTTTAGCGCCGGAAAAATTGGATTTAGGCCTGAGCACTTATTTGGAGACACCAGCCTTGATCCCTGGAGGCCGGCTGGGGAAATAAGGAAATTGAAGCTCAGGGAGAGAAGGGAGGCGAGGGACGAGGGCGGCACCGGCCGGGGAGACTCGCCAACCTCCCTCAGGATGGTTGACATCTCCACGACCCATCGCCCAGAGAGCATCCTTGTGCAGTGATGCAACTTTCCCCGAGTATTGCGGGTCCGTCCGGGTGAGCCGTGGGGCCAGAGAGAGACGCATGCGCGCCCCTGCTGAAAATCAGGGACGGTCCTTCTGTCTTGTCTAGCAGCAAAAGCCGCACCCCCAAGGCATTGTGGGTATTTCTTGGGGGGAGGGGGTGACTAAAATGCCCATCATCCCCACCTAGTCCTGCTACCTAGGGGATTCTGGGCCTCATAGTGGAAGGAATTCCACTCCCCTCAGAGCGAAAGCAAAACCCACCTCCCTGGTTTTGCTGTGCCCAATCCGGTTATGGCTTTGAGAGTCTCGGTTCGTTTGCCTTAACGACGTTTGGCTCCATTGGACTTGATTCCTGTATCCTTTCGTCTCCTTGTTACTGTTTAATTGATTGTTCTGTTTTTGCTTGGTCGTTTATTTGACGGTAAAACACCCAGAATAGTGCATGGATGGATGGATGGATGGATAGATAGTGGTCCATCGGTCCAGATAGGCGGGGTATAAATCAATCAAATAAATAAATAAATAAAATAGTACGATAGAGAGATAGTCTATAATGCAGGCGCGTATGCCTACTATTTAAACACACCTCCTGTTAGAGAGAGAGAGAGTCTATAATGCAGGCGTGTATGCCTACTATTTAAACACACCTCCTGTCCCCATCATACCCGGCGTGTTTTGCAGGTGGAAATACACTTTTATTTTCTTTTTCTAAAAGTTCTGTACAGCCAAACCATAAAAGCAGCCACTCTGGAACGACAGGAAAAGCCCACCGTCCGCTCAGTCATTGCCCTGGGAATCTCGACAGGTTTCCGATCCTGCAGGCCTGTTTGCTTCTCTCTCTGTCCGTTATGTTGATTGATGCCCCGCATACGGTTTATGGATGATGAAGGGAGAGCAGAGCCAGCCGTGGTGGAGGATGTTGATTTCTCTTCCGGTCCTTGTGGATTTCCAAAAAGAAGCCCCGGGAGGTTTTCCCTGCTGATCTTTGGGGTCTTTCGGCAGTGCCGTGGCTGGCCGGCCTGCCTGCCCAGAAGGGGTGGACTACATGATCTCTTGGGGACCCCATGAAACTCCCTCATCCAGTTCAGGGGTGGTGGGCCACAAGACACACGCCCCACATCCCTTGAACCCAGCTGCTTCCCCTAAAGGCAAAGGACAATGTGGGGCTGGATGGCAGCTGCCCCCTGTGCCCCCTCCATCCCCCAGAGGGGAAACATATGGGGCATGAAAGAGGAATGAGTTAATGAAGGAAGGTCCGGGAATCTCCTGGCTTTGGAAGAGCTGGTGGGGTGGGGAGCCAATTAAGTCTCTCTCTCTCTCTCACACACACACACACAGAGCACAGAACTCAAAGGTCATCTAGCCTGACCCCGTTCTGTCCTCAGCAGGAAATCCACAACAGAAGGGCCGGCAGGGGGCTGAAGTGGTTAGACTATCGGACCAGGACTTGGGAGACTGGGTTCAAACCTTGTCTGATGTAGGAAGGTTCCCAAGTGACCCTGGGTCAGTCCCGTGCATTGATCTCCCTCGGAGGGGTGTTAGAGGGATAAAAGAGGAACTCATAGGATGGAGGGGGGGGCAAGATGACATTGTACAGAAAAACCTCTTGCTGACGTTGAGGTCTTTGGGGAGAAGGACGGAAGAGTGCTACAAGCAGAGATGGGGAAAGTGGCTTTTTTGGACTACAAAGCCCAGAATCCTGAGTATATGCTGGCCATTGTTGTCTAAAACGATACTCACCTTGTACGCTTGCCCTTTTTCTCTTTTTTGGTCTTTCCAGGTATTCTGCAAATCAATAAATTAAAAGGCACCACCGCTGGCTTGCTGGGAGGGACCACCCGGCAGGAGCCTCGCAGCCGTTCCCTCGGCAATTCTTGGCTCGCCACAAACGGCAACCCTCTCTGTTCTCACGTGCCATCCTATCGGCTCCAACGTATGGCGACCCCGTGAATGAGCCCGTCCTCAAGCGCCCTGCTCAGCTCTTGCAAACTCAAAAAGTCGTGGTTTCCTTTAGGGAGTCATCCTGTCTCGTATTTGGGCCTCCTCTTTTCCTCCTGCCTCCCACCTTTGCCAGCAGGAGGGTCTTTTCCATAGCTAATCTTGCCTTCTCACGAGGTGCCCCAAGTAGGGCAGCCCTCAGCTCCATCCTCTTCGCCTCCAGAGAGAGTTCAGGCTGGATTTTGGTCCAGCACCCACCGGTTCGTCTTCTCTGGCTGTCCAGCGTAGGCGCAAAGCTCTCCTCCAGCCCCACCTTGGAAAAGCCACCTTTGCCAGCAGGAGGGTCTTTTCCATAGCTAATCTTGCCTTCTCACGAGGTGCCCCAAGTAGGGCAGCCCTCAGCTCCATCCTCTTCGCCTCCAGAGAGAGTTCAGGCTGGATTTTGGTCCAGCACCCACCGGTTCGTCTTCTCTGGCTGTCCAGCGTAGGCGCAAAGCTCTCCTCCAGCCCCACCTTGGAAAAGAAACCATTCTTCTCCCCCCCCCCTTCCCAAGCCGGCTTTCTTCACGGTCCCGCGTTCGCGCCATCGGAAAGGCCCTCTCTTATTGGGGG